TTCTCCGAGAATATTAATTAATTTTTCAATTATACTGATTCAGATATTACGCGCGTAGTGTCGTGTCATTTTAATTACCAGTTCATAATATTAATTACGACAAAGAATAAAAAGTTATGAGAGTTTACCTAATCTATAATATCGAGAGTTATAGCAGAATGTAATAAGTGTGTTGTGCTTAGCCATGGCATTGCGTATTAAGTAACATTTCTCAAAAGAGGCTCAGTGGTCTAGGGGTATGATTCTCGCTTTGGGTGCGAGAGGTCCCGGGTTCAAATCCCGGCTGAGCCCAATTTTTTTCATTCATGAAATAGATTTTTACAAATCCTCATATAAAAGCGTACAATATATTTTCTTCAATTTCGTTGAATTCATTAAATTGGTACGTTCGGCATTCATTGTACGACTAAAATATTCGCAATAACAACGAGATTTTCCGAGGCTAAATAGTTACGAGCTCCGAAGCTCGTAAATCAATCTCCGCAAGCGGCAGATGCTCATTTGCATTTCAGTTTTATTATACCACGGCTCAACTCGAGTCCACCGCGTCTATAATATATTTTCTCTATTAAACGTCGTCAGTGAGAGATTATATACGTTCTTACGAATTTTTTCCTCGGTCATCGTCATTCTTGCATCATTTTTGAACTACGTGCCCTATTACATTATAAATTAAACACCGTCCCTGGAATTGACCAAAAATAAAGTGGCATTTAGGAGGTTTGGCGTCGGATCAATTTCATGGACGGAGAGGCAGGTGAAATTGTAATCAGAAGTTATTATGTCGATTATTATTAACCCTTCGAGGCGTCACGCACCGGTACGTTTTTCGGTTAAAACCGAGTTGATGGAGCCTGCAGTAATTTCCTGAATGCTGCCGAGGGCAGATGCGTGGGACGCGCGTGCTTCACGGTTTGACGTGAAAATCAAACAGGATATAGGGAAAGCGATACTTGCGATAGACACCTGCTAGCTAGTAACGATCACCTAATGACTCGTAAAAACTTCCTAATAATCTTGATAGAAAGCAGCAATACGTCGAAATCGTTTAAAAAAACATATGAACATTCTTACCTGTTTCTGGATTTTATTCAAATCACGAGGATTCACGAAATCCATCAGACCTGACTTTTATATTTGTATTAAAATGTTAACAAAGCGTATGAAATATTTATTTTGGATTTTCGACTGCGTGCGAAACGAGGCCTTTGACATACAAATTGCTCTCAGCGATGACAGGCCCTCGTGTAATCAATGAATACCGCAGCACCATATTCGGGAATTTCAACACGATTTTAAATTGAATTCAGGGACGAAGATACCGATGTTTGTAGGCGGTGCAGTAGAATTATTTCCACGTCATTGGACAAGTACAGTGCGCGTAGCCGCGGTAGCAAAACGTCGTAGGCAACGCGAGCCGATGATCGCACAATGCAGACGCCTCACAATGAGACTGCTCGGGCTTTTCCAAAAGTATTCGGGTTTTGTGCGCTATCATCGAAAACCAACCGACAAGGGACAAAATGGAACGGTTCGTTCTTCGTATTAATATTATTGTTGAAAATGATGAGGGAATGTTAACACGGGGATGGATAATAATTATTAATGATATAAGGAACGAAGAGTGTAGGTATGCAAATTAGCTGAGGCTCATAAATGGAAATAGCACGCATCCGTCATAATAAATTCAAATGAACGCGGTAAATCAAGTTTATACTGCGATCCCTCGTCGACCGTGAGTCCAGATCAAAGATGACCCGAAAGTAAATGTTTTAATCCCAACCCAGTTTCTCCGGGCATTGAATGAAGGACTGATTCAACGGTGATAAAAATGTCCCCTTTTGGTAACCGCCCTGAATTAAAATTGTGTTACTAATTTTCACGACATGCAACGTTTAATTTAATTTGAAAGTACTTTGTGGCGAGAAAAGCAACGCGTCTTTATACACGAGAGAAACTCGTTGCACTGATTACTTAGAATAAGGATTCTCGGCGTCGAAACGCGTCTCATTGTCCGCCGGTGTTGCAAACACGAAAAAACGGTTTCAACTTTCGAGTGGCCGCGTTCCCTGGTTGGTCTCGTCACCGCAGAATTCCCCCTCGGACCGAAAGCTCGAGAGAACCGCAGCGGCAACCCCCGCCGTTCTGAAGCTCTCGAGTGCTGTCGCAGTGACTCTTTTCAACTTTGATCGAGCGCCACTCCAATGCGCATAAGATGAAATGAATTAGCGCCCCGGAACCGGAAACCCTCGCTCGGTCACCCTCCCCAGACGGCCTCTCTCTCTCCGTTCAGTTTCCATTCGTTTGTTTCCAGGCGCGAGAACCGTTGCGGTTTCCCTACCCATGAAAAGGTTTTGCGACCACAATTTTTCTCGAGTGCCGCGACTCGCTCCCGACTCATTACTACCGAACAGTTTTAATGTTTTTACGTGCGACGCCATTTCCATTCTGAATAGTCTAACAGGAAGGATTTCTAATTCGTTTATTTTAGTAATCTCGAGTTAATTAAAATTCACTGACGAATTGGTCACGCCGATGGAAATGTGACCGATCGAAATCTATCGAGAATTATCGCGGATCTTCTCTCATACATTATGGTTGATTTGTCCCTTCATGATCGCGTCGATACCAATGGGAGTAATAGTGAATACCGTATCACCGCGTAATTACAATTTCAATAGTAATCAGCGGAACGTAATGCGACATGCTGTGTTTCTATTAAAACCATAACCGGGACGTCTCGGTTGAAATAATTAAACCATCAGCTGCATCGTTAAATAGACGAAAATTGCGAGGGTGTATATTAATCTAGATTTCTAATGTGTTTGCACGTACTGAAAAGGATGCAGGTTCAATAACGTTAGCACTCGTGTGCCTCGAGGCAACGGTCAATTTAATTCGCTTTGCCGAAAATTCTGGTAACACAAAGTCGAAACGTGTCTAATTATCTGACTCCTCGTTAGTTGAAATCCCGCTATAATTCCTGGCTGAGATTAGACCCAGATCCCGTCTGTCCGTCCCGTTGATTACCACGGGACCGGTTCAAATTTTAATGGATTTGTAAAGGAGCCAGCGTTCCGTATATCTGCATATCACTCGCGCGAAATCGAATTGAATTCCTTGGCGTGACGAGACTGAGCACGCGAGGGCCCGGAAAATTGAATCGCGGCGACCACCGGCGACGATCCAGTCGCACGATCATTTAGTAAGTCGATACAGAATTCACTGTGTGTGACAGGCAAACCGGAAACCTGCCGATGCGATGCCCAGCCGTGAGGCAAACGCTGCTTTGATGATTAAAGGGGAAGCTCGCGCGCGGAACCGGGTTAGTATTTTGCTCGAGACTCCGTGGCAAAAGTCGCGCTTACCGATGTTCGCTGATCCAAATAAACCGCGATAAGACCCGGAGGCACGACGCGGAAGCTATCTCAAGTAAATTGATTGCTCGTGTACCGGGAGAAATCGTATTTGGGAAACGAGACGAATGGAGAGAGCTGAACATTCGCAGTAAAGCTAACGCGATAATACGATTAGGTCATAGCTGTCGACTACTGCTTCATCAGCTTGTTTCGTGCTGCATACAACAAATTTCTTCCCTCCTGCCGAACGACCAAAGCGCGTTATCGTGCTTCCTATAAATTGTCAAAGATCCGCCTCGGAATTCCAATGTTATTCCTAGTTTTCGTTGGACGCCGTTCGGAAACGTTGAATAACAACGATACTTTGAAGCGTATTCGATTGGCTCTCTGTCGGCTGTGTGAAGTGGCGCGAAATTCGCTAAACGCTCCCTTTTAAGCCGACGGACGAGGCACTCCTCAAAGCACCGACCGTCCGGCGCGCGAAACCTCTTCACAATGAATCAAGTCAAAGAAAGCGCGAGCTTGACAATTTTTTGATTCGGACTTTTACCCAGCCATCGTCGACCGTTCATTCTCCCTCGCGGGATGAATGAGAACGAAGAAGTTCGGTGAAGATCCGAGACGGTGAATGGGGCCCGGGACCGAAAAAAAGGCATTCTGGTATTTCACGTCGGCACACCCGCTGCGAGCCAGCGAACGCGACACAAGTGTCCCATTGTCAGGTTCGACGAGGATGCAAGAGTGCCTCCGGGCATTGTCGTGTCGCTCTTTAACACCATTAACTACGTTTTACCTTAAATTTAACCGAAAGTGGGGGCCCTCTTGACAAATTTCCAGGATTTACGGCATCACGGCCGATTTCACGACGACAATAACTCCGCGACTCCTTCTGCCTTTTCAGATCTTTACAGACTCCTCCCGTCCACCGTCCGAGTGTCTTTAATCCGTTTTATTGCCGACTCGAAAATTGTTTCACAATGCGATAACTCGTGCGAGCCAAATGATAAACCGTACTAATGATCATCTGCGTTTATTTATAAAGACGCATAACTGTTACATAAAAATGTATTTCGTTTCGAACGTTTCATAGAAACCCGGTCTCGCTGCAATATCAGTTGATATAAGAGACAGTTTCGGAGATTTGTACGTCAATAAATTTTTCGATGATTATTTTCTGAATTCCAGCAAATAAATAATCCGTCCGATGTTAATGCGGTATTTTAGTGCATGCCGTCGGCAATAACTCGTAGGAAAATCGATAACCGTAGCTGTATCAGCGATCCACTCGGAATTGCGCAGCGAAACGCATCGCGGAATTGGTACAAGCGCCCCTCGTTTGCTTTCTGTATACACAGAATGAAATATTTATCGATCGTCCACCCGTTTAACGTGAGAATTTCATGAACTTGCGGAATAATTAATTAAATACTCGTTGAAATGTACTGGCCATGTGTATAACACGATTGAATTAACCAATGATGAACTGTTTTCGCATTCAACAGAGAAGAAAAACGCTTTGCTAGTAATAATATGTAAATATTAGAGCAGGTATCATTAGTGGATGATGAATGATTCGAGATAACGATGGTTGGTTCATAGATTTCAATGATATTTTATTTCTCATAAAAATATGCGATTAGATTCTGTCTACAAAAATATATTTACATTATTTACAAGCCTCCCGTTCAGAACATTACACGGTGAGATGGAACGATTCGTGGAACGTAATCTCGGAAAACGGTTCCACTGAAGTGAACGCAATCTATACTTTATTTTCTACGAATTGACGATTCTTTCCACGGTGTGCTTGGTGCATCCCACGTTCCTGAACACCGGCCCGACGATCGTGTCCTGGATCGCATTCTGATAAACGTTATCGGTTCGCCTCTTTTTGTCATCCACGTCCTCCGGGCCGTCGATACTTCGCTTCAGACCTCTGGACAAATTGTGAACATCCTCGAAACCGGGACGATCGACGTTGACCCTCGGAAAATTTAATTTCTCCGTTTCCTGCAGAAACCGCATCTGCGAGTTGTCGCGCAACGACGTTATCGATTGCTCGAAATTGTCCGTCAACGGATTGGACGATTCCTCCTGGTCGGGCTTCTCAGCGTCCATTTTCTCCTCCTTCATCGGCTCGTCCGAGCCGCACTTACGACTGGAGGACTCCTCGCAACCCTTCTTCTTGCTACACGTTCTCAAGCAGCAACACTTCTGGCTCTGCCCGGAGGGTAGGTCCTCCTTCTTGTACTTCACTCTTCGGTTCTGGAACCAGATCTTCACTTGCTTCTCGGATAATCTCAAATTCGTGGCGATCTCGATTCGCCTGAGCCGCGACAGGTACATGTTCGATGCAAATTCACGTTCCAATTCCAATAATTGGGTACTCGTGAACGCCGTTCGAATCCTCTTCGAACTGTTTACGGAGTTCGGTGATTTCGGAGGCGGCGTCGGAGTGCTGTTCCGCGAAGGAGACTCGCCAGCTGCTGAAACATCTAAGGAAATCCGACAACGTTAATAAACATCGTTTCTATAAACGATTTCCGAGAAGATCGAGTTTCAAATATATGTTTACCGGAGAGCATGCTGGTGGAGGTGTTTAAAGGCGATGGAGGACTCCGGCCAGGTACGGGCGGCAAGCTTGCCATCACAGGTGGGCTGAGCGCTACCGGTACAGGGATCGGTGGCCTCGGTACCGGCCTGATCGGCTGATAACCGAGCCCCAAATTGAAGAAATTGAACATATAGTTCGGCACGTGGTTTCCATAATACGGCAACGGGTAAGCAGGAGGCGAATTGTTGCCGATCAACGAGTCCACCAGGAAACTCCTCGACATCTTTTATCCAATTAACACTTTCACTAAATCCTGTAACCACCGAGGGATGCAAAATTTCCCACCGACTTCACTGAATTTCACGCGATCACCGAGACCGCTGGAAACTTTCAAGACGGACGTTCAAAAGCACAGAGATCCTCGCAGTTCGATAGCTTGCCGTGGTCTACCCCGAAGGGCCAGCGTTAGAGCATATATACGGGATGCTAACTCCACCCAGGGGTTGGTTTTCTTTAGGGCCCCTTTTGTACGGGGCACCGCCCTTTCACGAAGGGTGCCCCCTTCTTTCCAGTTCACCCCAAAACGCAGCGAGGACCCCTGGGATCGACACCGAGTAGGGCATTTTCTCGCAACGCTAATTCGACGGGTGGCTAATATGTCCGGAAACTTTATACTCCGCACCCATCTTTCCACTATTATTGGCCCGCGCTGCCTCTAACCCCTGTCCTTTATTATTCCCCGCATTCGTTCCTAGCGATGATTTTGAAGTATGATTTTAAATCGACGGAAATGATCCATCCGGTGGACGTTGTCATCGCTCCGTTTGCTTGCTCTCGTGTACTGCTGTCGGTGCGTTCCACATTTGTTCTGCGTTCGTTTGATAGTTAGAGGTCTCTTAAACCTCACCTTTTAGATCTCAGATGGAAAAATATTTGAAATGGGCCAAGAAAGCACTCTGGCCGTTTTTGTCCTCGATCACCACCGAGATTCCTGTGGAACGTGCTGAAGAATCTGCGCGGGCAATCAAGATAAGCTGCTGGCAGGAGACTGTTGGTACGTCGGTATTCTGCGCGGTTAAAGTGTCGTTAGTGAAAACGTAAAATGGGCAGAGATTTCATGCTAATCAGACTCTCACAGAGAAACGTCGTACGCTTTTATCTCGTTCGTTGTAAAATCAAACTTCTGTTAAATTTTCTCGGAAAAAATACTGAAGCCTGTCTCGGGAAATAATTTCGTTGAAAATATCTTTTTAAACAATTCACTCGTTCAATTAATCGGTAAGCGTGTTTACAGTTTCTGGTACACGACGGTTTATACCGCCAACCTTTCCACGAAGCGAGCCGAGATCTTTCCAACGGTAACTTCGTTTCACATCGATATTCAATAACTCGGAGGGTCCAAATCGAATCTCGCGTCTACCTGAGACCCAGCTATTTTCCTCCCTTGCCTCGACAGACGATTTGCATTCGCGGGAGAATCCTCCGTCGCTCGACGATCGCGCACACTTCCGGTAATACCATTCATGCGTTTAATACGATTTCATAAAAATAATATCGAAAACCA